AAAAGCTTTATTTTCTTGTAGCCGTATCAAACTAGTGTTCCACAGTACCTAAGCATACACCCGGCATAGGCAAGTTTGTAGTGAAAAGTTGTTGTGGCCTCGCAACCAATGACGAGACGATTTTACTGAGCGCCAATAATACAAATCCCAGAGTTAGAGTGTGTGGAGCGCATGGTTTGGACTTGCAAAAGTCATGAAGGATGACAGCAGTCTGACAGCCAGTAAAGCGTAGAAAAAAAAAGACTGAGAAACAGCAAACACACTCTGCTAATGCTAACAACGAGAAGCTGAGTGGTGACCACGACCTGAAGGAGCACAGTTGTCACTTTAAACCATAACGGAAGTCTGAGGCCGAATATGTAACCCATAAAAGTACTGTCCCATTTAGCAGAATGTTTCTCAGTTAAATGGCCGCTACGCATCTGTGAAAGCGCTAGACAGGCGTTTTGTCCCATTGGGACCTTCCGGTAGCGCACATCTGGCGGCTAATGCAGGATTCGAGTGCATGACGTAGTTCTTATGAGCCATCGAAGTAAGCCACTCGAATATCAATGACGGTAACGGCGGATGGACATCACTTGTTGCGAGAAAGCGCAGCCCACCCCTTAATGTTATGCATGTTATAAATATGCGAAAGACAAGTCCAGCCACAAAAAATGTGGATACGCTTATAGCTTCATAACGCACAGTAAATTTCCAGTTAAGCCCTACAATCGTTGAGATTGTCGTCGTATAAGTAACGTGGTAACTTGATTCACTGCCGGTTGACTGCCCTGAACATGGTGAACATATCAAGTCGGACTGAATCCAAATCAGCGGAAAGGATCTTCGGTGATCTCCAAGCGCTCATTCGCCGTCCGACTGAGTCAAGAACTGCGAACAGCTTTTAATTAGGTTATCCACATGGCAAATAAACCAAGCCCATGATGTCAATTGTGTGCACATGGTTTACGCCTATGATCAAAAAATCCGACAGATGTGACTAGACGACTAAGCGCGATTTGTGATGGCTAATAGCGTCAGTTTTCATCATCCGATGGGCATTTTATTGTCTCAAATGTCGCCTGAGTGGAAATCAGTCAAGATAGCACATATGTCGATTGATGCTACCGGGAAACGGATTTATTTACAATGGAAATTCAGGGAATAAAGAAAAGCACTGACAATAAAAGCGATGAAAAAGTGCTAGTGGTACAAATTATGAGCGGCGAAATATGTGAAATAGGATGGATCGATGAATGTGAACCGTCAAAGAATTCGATACACTGTCGGATCCCTCTCCACAGCTCGTGGTTAACAACCTGCCCCACTACACATGCCGTAGTTAAGATAATAGCGATGTAGAAATGGAAGCGCAATGATGTCAATCAACTCAGCAAACAAAAGTCACTTTATCTAAGTGTATAACCACCGACGCAACAGGTGTAAACGTGTCGACGTGAAACAATGTGAGGCCACAGAAACAGACGAACAGGTTCGCGCAGCAAAAGGAAAACAGTTGACTTGACTTAGTTGCGTATACGGAGGGGGAGCGTAAACAGAGCACCGTCGAGATAACTATATCAGTTCGTAGAGCTAACAAAACAAATGAAAAAGATGATGGATCGCGAAGAAGCCCAGCGCATACACACGTGCCGTTCCGCGCAGTTCAGATACATGTGAATGATGATGCGACTGAGATATCTGCAAACGATTGTTTCAATTCCCTACCCGCCTCAACTCATATGAATGACTCACAAAAATGAGATTTAGTAGAAACAGTTGGGTCACAGACAAGGGTACCTATGTTCCTAAGATGTACAACGCAATGGGGTTTGAGCAGTTCAGCTTAGTTGAGTAGCTGTGATCCGAACATCGAAGTGTGGTAAATCTAGCTGCCAAGATTCACATCGCCAGTGACAATAAATAAGAGCAGCAAGAAAGTAGATTGAATGCAAGTATAATGTGGAGAAAATGTAAGCCAGTATAAATTGTGTTAGATGCAAGAAACCGAATGCAGGAGAGCCCCTGACTGCGCCATATCTGTAAACTCTCCAATCATTGGTGTGGAAAACCCAGAGGCCCCCATCCAAGAAGACTGCATGCGTCAGCTTAGCCAAGTCTATCAGTCAATTTCTTTATGTCTTCATTCCACGTCATCGACTGGCTATCTTGCGACTTCGCCCAGCTCGGTGCAGCTACGGCGTGCAATGCACGCTGCGAAAGCCGGTAGACGAGCATACGGAGGACACTACCTAGCCAATGTGTAAACAGATGCGCTTTAGAAAACACTCGAGTGAGGTACCGGAAATCCTTTTACCAAACACTAACTGGCGGACCTCAGACTGCTCACCTGGTGCTCCCACAAGATGTGAGCGATACTACGCAAGTGCCAATGATCAATCAAGGCCATGCCTCTGGTCCATACAGTAAGACTGGCCATACCACAGCGTTATACACCCTAACTTTCGCTGGCAATCTGATATTCCGCCTCTGATACGCAAAGTAGATTAGTGATGTGACCACCAGAGGTGACACAGCTACCAAGATAAATGATCCGATTCACTACTTCCAATGGTTGTTCACTGTTAACTAGAACTGGTGGTGAATCGATCTAGTCCTACAACAATACCTTGTATTTTGAAGGTGCAAAGCACATGCCGTAGCGCGCACCAGTCTATATAGTAATGCTTGCATAACCGCTGCGTCAGACCTAAGGAGAGCTATGTCGCCGAGTACTACAGGTTTGTCAGTCGGTCGCCTGGCAGTACTTCCACTCCGGTAGAGTCTGATAGAACCGAGTCGTTCATGATCATTCCCCTCACAAAGTAGTGGTGAATTCAGGAGACATGGTCTCGGTAGAGAGACTGCATAATGTAGAGGTGTGCAAACTTTTAGCAAGGAGGGTAACATTTTGTGGGGTAAAAATATGGCGACCCATATTCAGTCTAACATTAAGATAAAAGTCAAAAATGTCACATGCATTTTTATTGCAAGTTTTTAACGTTAATGGAGAAACTGAGATCGTCCCTATTTTCCGACTTAGATAAGACCCTTTAGTAAAAGCTCTATATTAAGTTTTCCTAAGTTGATAAAAAAGACAACACAACAGCATTGCATTAGTGTTTGTATAGCCCCTACGTCAGACCCAAGAATAACCATGTCGTCCACATATTCCAAGTTTGTCAGTCGGTCAACTAGGGGAACTTGTACCCAGAGGAAAGTTTGAAAGGACGGAGTCATTCATAATCCTTTCGATCAGAAATTTGAAGATGAAAGGGGACATAGGACAACGGCGGTGAAGCCCGCTTGTCGTGCGGAACCGATGAGATACCTTCTGGTAGACTTTAACCCGGCCCCGGAAGTGACCGCAGGGACTTTGAAATGAGGTGTTTGAGGCACTCCGTTCGCTGATATTCAGTGTATACTTTGGCTCGATCAACAGAGAAGAAGGCGGCTTTCAGATCAAGGAACACCGCACAGTTGGTCGTTTATAAACGTGTCACTGCTCTAACACTTAACGAAGACTATTTGTGTGGTCCATGCAACTACGACCAGAATGAAAGCTTGACTTTCGGTGATTCGTATCTCAAGAGGACCATGCTTAGTTGCATCGAGTGACTCGTTGAGTGGAGAATTTTGTAGAGAAGTTCAGCAGGCCTGCTGCGAAATTACAAATTGCTGAATCACATGAGTCGACGTACGAAGTTGATCTAACATCTCCCACTTTGGAAGAAATTCCACATGAGCTTGTTGCGTGGAAACGGAACAAGGCCTCTGAACCCAACGACAGCCATCCATCTGTGCTGTTAGGTGCAGGTGGTTCTTTGTTGACTGGACTTGTTGCTCCACTCAACACTGTTTGTTACACCTAATAGGTGTCTACAGACTGGCGACTGTCGTGTCTATCTTCAAAAAAGTACCAGCGGGACTTTGTGCGAAAATCATCGTTACACTGCCTCCGAACTTATGAAGCGTATCATATTTCGAAGATTAAACCTGATCTCTAGGTGTACAATACAAGAAAGCATGAAGCTGGTTGCGGAGTGCTTGCTTGAGGAGCGTGTAACACAATATTTATTTGATTCAGCTACGGTTCCAATGTCCAATGATTGTTATAGAGTGAATAGTGATAGTGGTTGCGTGTCGCAATCCGTTCACATGACGAGTACCGCAAACAAAGAAAGAAACGATGACCTCCCAACCGTTGTGTGATAGGTTTTGCTCGTGGAGCTCGGTAGGGGATAGAGGAGTGGTAAAGATTATTGGACTTCATGTTAAATTCCCAGTTCGGCAATCACCACATGAAAATGCAAACAAACCCCCAATACGGTGCAAAGCTGAAGGAAGTCATTACTTGACACAGATCTAAATCGGCATATGCTGACCATCGGTCAGCGTATGTGTGTATGCGAGAAAAACCTGTCTCATGAAATAGGTAATGGAGTTTGAAGCTTGTCGATACTGGGTAGTGCCCAACCTTAAGATTAGTGAAAAACGAGTGGGGGAATTTGGAAATCTGAACAGCAGATTAAGTTACATGACAACAGCACGGGGGGGGGGGGTACCAACTGTCTCTATTGGACAGGAGTTGTTAGTAAACTCCTATTGTCTTATCACATCGGATGGAACACTGCCAAGCACCAGTTGTGGCAAGAGTTGCTGGCCAAGCGCAAGCAAGCAAGGATGCGAGCGTGATCGTCTCGAACAACAGAGTACAATGACCTCCTTGGGCATTCAATCTTGATGATACGTAGGACCGTGTTGAGACTCTTGTGATGAAACCAAATGGGTCTAATGACGGCACAACATTGAATAGCAGTGAACACCAACATATGGCCAAGAATGACTCCAGAGTCCGCATTTGCAATGAAAAAATTCATTAATTGTAATGAAAAAGAAGAAACTGCCGTGGAATAGAGGAGAAGCAATGCGGAAAGGGAAGAATATTGAGATAAATAAAAGATTGAGAAGCACTCATGAAACTGAGCTTAAGAAAGGAGGATGAAAATGGAACGTACTTGTTGTCCAGGATAGCCAAAGCCGCCAGACCGTTCGATGCAGCACATGCGTGGTGCAAGGCGGATTGGCCGTTCGAATCTGTGAAAGTGATTGCCAATCTATTCAAAATGCATGCTACCTCATTCGAATCTTCTACCGGTCCGTCATGGTGCACCAGGCCACTCAGTTCGTTGGTCAATCGAGAGTGCATGCGTAACAGAAGCTGCACACATCCGTCGTGACCGGTGCTGGCTGCAAGCATGAGAGCTGTTCGGCCAGCGTTGTCGCACCGGGTCACAAAGGAGCCAATGTGCAGTAAGCGAGAGCGCATTACTGAAGAATCCTGGCACTCTTGGGCTAGTGTAGATGAACAGAACTCAGCATAACGAAGAACCTCATCTACACAAGTAACCTGTGTGCAGAAATGGACAAACCAGCCATTAGCCAAAATGCAACATACAAGATTACTACTACGTAGGTGAGTAGTATCGAACAAAGTGAAATATAAAGACAACTCGCAAAGCCGACACTCATTTCAGTGACATTGCGCAAAGTGCAAAGGCCGAGAAAAATCAGTTACTTGAACAGCTGTTCCATCCTTCCGGGAATCCTCAGCAGGGTGCATTCCACCTGACTCCCGTGGGATTAGAAGCCGTAACAGTAACCTTACAAGTCGGATTAAAACCACTGGGACACAAAGGACTAGACATAACGTATGCATCCCATTAGGTCCTGTTTACATACCAGTTGCACTCATACTGCTTCTGCACCGCCGTTGGGTTAAACCAAGTTACATTTCATATAGGTCTTTTTAATGTGGATAAAATTCATTCATCTTTATTTGGTTCGTTCAATTCTGTTACTATACTGCATATTTCATGTCAATTTTCCGTGTTTGCTTTCCCACAAATTCTATGTTGGTTGTTTGATATTCCCGGTGTGGCTGCGCTTGAGGTGAATGTTGAAAAGGTGCCTACCTGTCTAACACACTCCACCTTGATTACTGACTCCAGGAGACAGTGAATTGTTGCTGGGGGACGTAATGCATGATGCTCGAGGCCGTGTTAGGCTCAAAAAGTGGTTTCATGCATCCAGTGTAGAGCGGACTATGGCCCAGCCACAGTCTTGTGCACGTCTGGTACGCATGATTCCCAAGTTAGATAAACAGGAAGGCTCTGCTGTGCATGTTGAAGAAGTGTGGGCCGGCATCGATGATGAAACGTAGTTGCCATCCACATGCCTCCCGGTCTTATTCCTTCAGGTTTACACTGAACATGGGATGTGTGGATAAAGCTGTGGGTGGTGCAGGGCAAGCCACCCATGGTCCCTCTGTAGGCGTAGGCGTCCTGTGGTAGTCTCTGTGGAGGCCGCAGTGACAGGAAAATCCGGAACCGGAAGCCGCCAACAATATATACCAGTCGAACAGTACTGGCCTACTGCTGCAGTTTGTTATCAAGGATAGGAGAGTAAGGCGACTAGACAATATGCAGGCCGCATTATGGTCAGGCAAATGCAACAGAACCGTGTAAGCAGTGGGTGGTTGTCGTTCGTAGCTCACTATGGGCGTTTCGTTCAGTTTGGTGGAGTCATGATAGCCTGCACTCATTGAGCCGCTGAACAGGTTCGCCCACACACCTACATAATATACACGGAAGCCCACAGGGTGACAGAAAACTGTCACCAGCTTCCGTGTAGGTGAACGACGCATATGATCCAAAGCAGGCATTCTCAACCTTTATTCATCCGTGACAGCCTTTTGAATCCTTCCAATTCTTAGAGCCCCCACCCTTTATCGTCACGTTTCTCGAGGTCTGTAACATTTAGAAGAGGTAAATGTTTGATCTGCAGTTATCATGTCCCTATCTTTTGTTATCATCGCTAAATCCTTAATGTCGGTAACACTGCTGTATCCCTCATACGCTTCACACTTGGTCTTTCACATCCTGAAGATTAAATTCACTGTGTAACAACCTCGAACCACTTATTCATCATTACACAAAAGTCATCATGATTAAGTAAAGCTGTTTTCCATTATTGCTAGGTTTTAATTGTAAAGCACGTGATGAATAAAAATGCACAGTAACTTCTGAACAATATATTTGATAAAGGTTTAGTGCGAACCTTGAGCCTGATGTCCATCAGTAAACTTGCTTATGTCCGGCTCTAGACTAGAAGGTGAGAGTTGAAGATCTCTTGCTGTGATGTCCACTCTGTTATTAAATTTTATGAGAGAAACCACTGTTGAATCCACATTCAGCCAAATATGTGGAAGGAAAAGCAAGGAAAGAGATTTCGGCTATTTCTCACAGTTTGGGATATTTGTTAGCAGCATCAGTCTTTATGCAAAAATCCCTTTTATTTTGCATGAATTTGGATCTTACTACTGTGTCAGTATGAAGCTCAATGAGACGTTCCTAGAGGTTTACTCCAACATTGCGGGGCTGTACATGAAATGGATCTAAAACCCAAATTGGGATTTCCATTCCAATCAAATAGTGAAACCTAGCTTTCATCTCGTTTTCGATTTGTTGTAAATGGCTTGCATAAACAACCAAGTCTTCATCCTTCAGCTCATCCGTAACTGTAGCGAGAACTGGAAACTGTGAAGAATCCCGACGTTTGATACTTTGTGGTACGCTTCCAGCTTGTTAATAAAAGCGAGAATGACTTCTTTACCTGAGAAGAGAATACCCAACTTGCCTTGAAGGGTTTTATTTAACACGTTGAGTGTTTCAGATATATCAGGCAGGCAAAACACATCAGGTTTAGCTGTTAACCGCTTTCTCTCATAATCAGTTCCAGAGTGGAAAGTGATGACGGTGTCCCAGAGAGTACAACAAAGCGGCGAAGACAGTTGCCTTTGAAGAGCCATCTAACCTCTGTATGCAAAAGTAGAAGCTGGAAATCTTCACACAGGTGCTGAAAAAGACGATCTTGATATTGTTGACTACCATTATAACAGTAGACAATGAATCGTTTAAGCGCCTTCCCATGTTCCTAGCTACTAGGTGCTCTCGATGAATCACATAGGGAATTGTGTGAACATGAGGGAGAAAACCTTTTAGATGGGTAATCAATCGTTTACATCTTCTGACCATTGCGACAGCACCATCTGTTGCATATTCAACTACCTTCTGAATTGGGATAGAGTTTTCAGTCAGACAGCCATTGACCACCTCGAATACAAACTGGTCTCTCCTGTTAGTTTTAATTCTCCTGGCAAACAGCATCTCTTCCAGTAATTCATTACCGTTGAAGAAGTGGACATATGCCAGGAGAAGAGCGTCATTATCAGGTAAAGTGGATGCATTTAGTTGCAACGAAAATTTTCTGGACTGTAGTAAAGTAACCAAGGTACGTTCTATGTCCAGAGCCATCTCATCTATTCTTCCGGATAAAGTAAAGTTGCTGAGGGGAATGGTTTGAACCACTTCTAGAAAATTCATGTTCATCACGTCCGACAGTATTATTGACACTAAGGGCAAAATGTGATTTTCTCCAACATTATGTGGACTGCAATTTCTAGCAAACAACTTGCTGATTCTATGAGACGCAGTAAGCCCACTCGCCATTTTTGAACTGTCAGAAAACATGTTCATTAAATTTGGTCTGTTTTCGAAACTATCACGCAGATTTCTAAAAAAAAAATCCACAAACTTTCTGCTTTCGTCCTTATGAACAGTTTCCAAATGATTTTTCAGTGTACTTAATCGCATACTTTCATTTGAGTGCTCTGTCAAATTAAAAACATAGGTACAGGGGTTTTGAGGTGATGCGATAAGTCCAAACAAGAGATATTCCATGGGATACTGCCGAAGCTACTTAGTTACCGAGGAGCTCACTTCTGAAATATATTATCGTAAATGGTGACTATGTAACCTCATATAACATTGCTATTGTCTTATTTTGTGTACACTGTTACATCATGGGTATAAAATAGCACATTTGGACAATGCGAAACACATATGCCATGAATGACTGGGGACATTAAATTAATTCGTCATTTACAGTCCTGTGTGCACAGAGCTCACAGGAACAAACCTCTTAAGCAAAGTCGATATTTCGCTCAACGCTATGCATCAAGTTATCAAATTAATCAGGTCATCTTCCAAGCTGGGATCTGATGGTATTTCACCGACCACCATTAAACTAGGAGAGCCTGGTATACCATTGCTACTGATGAGCATGTCCAATCTATCGCTGGAACCTGGCCACTTTCCAGACCAATATAAAACCTCATTTATTATGCCTCGGCATAAAGCAGGTCCCAAACAAACGATTGATAACTGCCGACCAATGCACCACACTTCGATAATCGCTCGGCTATTTGAAAAGCTGGTCAGAATGGAGATGATGGACTTTGTTGATTCTAATGGCCTGATTAACAAGTCGTAGCATGGTTTTCTCAATAAGCAATCATGCACCACCTGGCAACTGCATTACCTTAATCACATCTCAGAATGAATCGATTCCAGCTATGCAGTAGTAGTCTTGTTTCTTGATATACACCAAACGTTCGACCGAGTACCGCACAAGCGACTGTTAAGAAAGTGGGAGAACTTTGGGATCCGAGACCCATTACTAAGGTTGGTTATCGTCATACCTGAGTAATCGTCATCAGGTAGTCACTTTAGGTGACTATCGATCTTCCCCACGCTCAATCACCAGTGGAGTCATTCAAGGGAGCGTGCTCTGTCCCTTACTCTTTTTGCTTTACATCAATGACATCACCACATCTGTAAAACATGATACATCCTTTTTATTTGCTGACGATATCAAATTAGTCCATAAATTTCGGCGTGAGGAGCTGCAGGGGGCATTACTGCTCATTCAAGATGATTTACATTCCCTTGGGTCATGGTGCTGCACATGGGTGATGAATCTCTCGGCTAAGAAATCAAGCATCACGTCTTACGGCTGCTGCAAACCCGAAAGATCTATCACCCTAAACAATACACGCGTTCCTACACAGTTGTCCATGCGAGATCTTGGAATTAAATACCCGTTTGCCTTCAATTGCTCTGAACAGGTCCAATACCAAGTTACACGTGCCAGACAGTTTATGTTCAATATAGCAAACGAAATACATACAACTCGTGCTAGAGGTGAGCTTTTCATGCTACTCACTCACCCCATCTTCGAATACTGCAGTATAATATATGGCAATATGAGCAAGACTGACAGAATTGCTGTGGAGAACCTGCAGAGGTCATTTTCTAAACATCTGATTGGTAAACACTCTGCTATGAGTTATCGAGAACGTCGCAGTGAACTTCATCTCGAAATACTTTGGATTCGACGATTGAAGCACAAGTGGTTGCTGTTTTTCAACATATTACACAAAAAGAACTATTTCAACCTGCCTACATTCAATTTGCAACATTGCTCAACTCGAGTGCTTCGCAACAAAGG